TTAGGAGATATTTATAAAAATGTAGCTTTGATTTTGTTTACATGACAGAAGGACAATTACATGTGTTGAAATTGCATTTCACACATAGACCATGTGTTCACATTACAGTATTATATGTAAAATCATTATTTCCTAATTACCTTTCCCAAATGTCTTAAAATGAATGAATTATTATGTTTTGCTGATATTACATTGTCCATATTAATGTTCCATGGATTATAAATGCAGATATTCCAATGTACATGTCATTATTGATAATATGTGTTTCTGCGATTATATATTGAAATGTATCGGAGATATTATATTATAAATCATCATAAGGGAAGACGATTCGATAAATTCCCTGAACGTCTTCAAGGCATACCGATACAATTCAAAGGGACGATTCGATATAATACCACCACAGAGAGAGGGACGCTGGGCTTGTGAAGGGTGGGCGTGTTGTAGCTGTTGAAAAAAAAAGAAATATATTTTCTGACAGGAAAATTGATTTTCCTGGTGGATGGAAGGAAAACGAAATTAACACATGGGTTGTTTGGAAAAGTTTCTTTGTTTGCTATTTGGAGTGAAGATGTTGGATGAAGACGGGATTGATTGGGGAAGATTTAATATGTTTATATGTTATATATATACATGAATAAAGTAGAATTGTAGTAATGTTTATTATATTTATTTAATATTGTTAGAAAGGATTATTTTGGATTGATAAGTTATATTTTTGAGAGTAAAGGGTTGAGAGTAAAGAGTTTTTTTATTTTTTTTCATTAGTTATCAATACTTATTTTAACATATTTTCGTCAAAAAACTTTAAAAATAACGATTATAACAATTGTCACTTTTCATTGGTACATCTTCACTAAATTTATATTTACACATGTTATTTTAACATATTTTCTTCAAAAAACTTATAAAACAACGATTATGACAATTGTCAATTTTCTATGGTACATCTTCACTAAATTTTTATTTAAACATGTTATTAATACTTATTTTAATATATTGTCAAAAAAATTTAAAAAACTTTAAAAATAACGATTATGACAATTGTCACTTTTCATTGGTACATCTTCACTAAATATATATTTACACATGTTATTAATACTTATTTTAACATATTTTCTTCAAAAAAATTCAAAAAATAACGATTATGACAATTGTCACATTAAAATATTATCCTTAAAAAGATCATATAAAATATCATCAAAAAAGTTTCATAAAATCCACCTCATTTAATAAAAAATAGATAATTCTATAAAATTTATAAAAAAAATTATAAAAGATTTTACCTAAAAGATTGTTTATTTATCTAATAAAATTTACAATATAATTCCTCAATAAAAGATGTATTTACAAAGAAGATTGTGAAAATCACTAATAAATTATATTAAAAAGAATATTACATTTTTACAATGCAGCATATTATTTATTTTATTAAAAACCGTCAAATAAATAAATTTATTTTCATTTCAAAATATAATTATATAAATAAAAAATATTAAATCATATCATTTTTATTTGTTGATAATAATAAAATATTTACATTAAATATAAATAAAAATTATTTTACTAAAATAAATAAATCAGAATTTCGACTAATTTAATTTTAGGCTTAGTTAGACGATTTTTAGGCTTCACTAATTAGGCTTAGCCGATTTTTAGGCTTTAGCTAATTAGGCTTAACCGTTTTTTTCACCTAAAATCTCGGCAGCCGTTTTGTAGTCGGCTAAAATTAGCCGATTTACAACACTACTTCCAATATTTGCCTTTCTTTAAAAGTTGCCAATAAAATACCATTAAATTATATATATTTAATTATTTGTTTGTTTTATGATGATCTTTTCAATAAAACGTATTTGGCATAAATCTTTAATAAGCAGAAGCCATGTGCAGCACATCCAAAGCATTCAATACAGTGACGAGGCGTCAAGTTTACTACTAGGGAAGCAATCAAAAATTTATTTTATTTATTAGTCAAACCATAATTAAGATTTATAAATAAACGGAATTCGTCTTTGTTTTTGAGTAAATGATCAAGTACTGAATTATAAAAGTTATTACTAGATTTTAAATTTTTCAATAATTTTTTTTCAATAGAAATCAAAGCTAGATTCGATAATCGATTTTGACTCATTCTGTTTCTACAATAAGATTTGATTATTTTTAAATATGAAAACCCCCGTTCTGCACTTGCTGTTGTTGCAGCCAAAGTTAAAATGAATTTGCATAATTTAAAAACACGGAATGCGAGCTGCTGAACTCCAAGAAAACATATAGAATTGATTAAAATATTTCTCTATTTGATTTAACTTTCGAATTATGCTGTTCGATTGAAATTTTGCGCATCGAATCTATCATATTTTCAATACTAATTTCGCCAAATGTTTTTAATTGAATCATCGACTGCAAATGAGCTGTTGATTCTTTATGTCGTTTAACTGCCTTTGAAAAATTATTCATATCCGAAAATCCTCTATCATTCCAAACATATTTTTCCTTTGGGAATAATAAGCATGACCCACAATATAGAGAATTAGAAAATTCACTACAGTGAGCCATTCATATTTATCATATTTATCGATACAAAAATTACGAATGCAAGATTTTATTTCTTTTTTTAAATTTCTTAAAATTGGCTTTGGTCTTCCTTTTTCAATAATTAATTTTTTGGTATCAAAATTTCTTGAGCTAAATGATAATATTAATAAATTTTCAATAATACAATTACAATTATTAAACATTAATTTAAAGAGAAAAAAATTTTTTTAAAAAAAGTAAGAAAAAAAATTTAATATAAAAAACTTATTTTTCTTTTATACAAGAATAAGCAATTTTTTATTTTCTTACCCAATGCTTATTTTTTAATCGTAAAATTAAACAATATCATAACATGATTTTCTATTTATTAAAAAATAAGCAATATTAGATTTGCTTCCCTCTTGTATATTTTTTTTTAACGTAATAAAAAAATTACACCAAAAAAATATCGTATGAATCATGATTTATTAGTATATTTATTATAGGAAAATAAGCAATATTAAATTTGCTTCCATCATTTTTTAACATAGTAAATATAATAGTAAACTTTTTACGTAGTAAAAATAATAGTAAATTTTTTAACGTAAATTTTTTATCGTAGTAAAATATTATAAATCTTTTTAACGTTAGAAAAAATATATTAATTATTTTAAGGAAGTAATTTTATTTTTTTTTTAGCATAGTATAAAGATTATATTAAGTTTATCTAAGAATTTTGTAAAAAAAATTTAAAGGGAAGCAATGCTTCCCTTGCTTCTATGGACGCTTCGTCCCTGATTCAATATAATTATATTTTGCCTTAACAAGACTCCAGGCCTTTTCATATTCTTTGCATTATCAGTTACTAGTAAGATAATTTTTTTACTACCAATTTCTTCAATTACCTTGATCAGCTCAGATGCATTATAATCACTAGTATGAGCACTAGATCCTGTGTCAATGAATTTAAAGAAAGCGCATTAATTTTCAAAAATTGATAAAATTATTTTCAACTAATTGAAGGCAATTTGACATAAAAATAGCTAATGTCAAAGCACTGTCAAGTTGTGTTTGATTTTGTTCAGTTACAATGTCAAAAATTTTTTTAATTTTAGATGTGCCTGATAAATTATTAAAATTATTGATATTTTCTTTAAAAGTATTTAGAATGGTTTTATTTATGTTTTTTTTGGAATATTGTTTTTATTAGGATTACTTGAATCTGGTATACATACTACAATATCCTCTTCAGTGAATTATTATTATCAACTTCATTAAATTGTAAATTGTTAATATACTTTTGACATTTTTTGATATGCTGAGACATCTTTATTAATTTGGGAAATTAAATGTCAATTGACAATATTTTCATATTGATATATTCTTTATTCCAGATGTTGGAAAAAATATTGCAATCATTAATTTAAATTAAACATAAATAAATTATTATACCATTTATATAGTATGATTAAAATATAATGGTCCTTATATATCATATTAATATTATGTATGAGAATATAATGTTTAACACTTATATCTTTGTTTTTTTACTTTTAAAATTATAGATTTGAAGAGTTACTCAATGGTTGAATAAAAAAAATAAGTTTAAAGGCTCACGAGGAAAATAAAAATTATTTTAAAATATTTGTGATATAATAAATTAAATTATAAATCATAATTTTTGAAATAAAATAATATATTTTATAAATAATAATTTTTGCAATAAAATATTATATTTATATTAAGGAAAAATTCGGGAAATTTAATTTCCCGTGGAAATATGAAATTTCGCTACCTTTACATCTCTACCTCGTAGTATTAAGAGACTTTGATAAATATACTGAATGAGTATTTAGCGAAAAATTTACCCCCCCCCCTCTCATCATCTTATATACAAACGTCTCTTCAGCATTATATGAATATATTAATAACCAAATTCTCAGAGATGACTTCAGAATTAGATCTTGTTAAGATATTGGCTACTAAAAATTCATTACCATTGAAATAACAATATAATTTGACTAGCTAGAAAATATTATTCATTATTTTCATCTCAGAGATAAACGATGTTTTACAAACCAAACAAACATGGTATCCGTAGCTAGCTAAGATCAATTTGAACGCTAGAACATCTTTATTAGGCCCTTAAATCAAAATAATCATTTAAATTTTAAAAATATTGAGTTAGAAGAATATTTGGCGCAGCTGCCAATTTTAATAGTACCATTAATTTCCATACGCGTTGTTGGGCGATCCTTTTTAAAAAAGAAAAGCTATTGCCGATAACTTATCGGCGCATTATTAAATAATGAATAAAATATAATGTTTAATCAATTTACTATATTTTTTGACATAGTGTGAAGGATAATTAATTTATAAAAATATTAGTTTTTCCAATAATTCAACAGACTTATAAATTCAAAAACAAAAAATGTTTTGTAAAATTATTTATTTCATATTACAAAACTTTCAACTATCATTGATAGATCATAGCCTACTCGGGACAACGATATCGAATTTTTGGTGAAACATTGGACATAGCGGTAGGAAATTGCTTGGACAGATTCGCCCGAATGCTTAAACTTCCTAACGATCCTTCACCGGGTCAAAATATAGAAATTTTCGCTAAAACTCTTGGTTTTGGTAAATATTATTCACTACCATACGTTGTTAAAGGAATGGATGTTTCCTTTTCAGGCATTCTTAGCCATCTCGAAAATGCTATTAATAAATACGGTGTTGAAAAGGGGAAAGAAAATTCAGTAGGTAATTTTTTAATTTTTTTCTCCATAATACATACTCTATTTTTACTTTTTTATTCTAATCATCTATTTTTATTTCTAATTATGTTATGCCTGTATTGATTAATTTAATATAATTCTTTCTTTCAAACTAATTAGAAAATATTAAGCCCTCTTCACCCTTTATCAATTACCAAAACGAGATTTATACCGCAGCAGATTTGTGTTATTCCCTACAAGAAACAGTATTCGCTATGTTGGTCGAAATAACTGAGAGAGCTATGGCCCATTATAAAACAGAAAATGGGCATGATACTTCCTACGAAGAGGTTTTGGTTGTAGGAGGTGTAGGTTGCAATCTCCGATTGCAGGAGATGCTGAGTTTAAAGAAATTATATAAAATTTCTCATTGAGAGAGGGGGGGGGATTATTATTTTGAGGTTAACGTTCTAGTATTTGGTAGTCAATTATTTCTATTTAAATTTTTATTCATAGGTTAGAAAAATTTCTCGAGTGAGTGAATTAAATTGTATTTTTTTAGATATGTATGATTTCACAGAAATTAAGAAAAGGCTAATATTTGTAAAATGACTTTTTAGCTAAAATATATTTAGACTTATTTATAATCTACTCTAAGAACTATTTTCAGAATTTGAATTATGTTATAGTGTTGTAATTGACGTATTCGGTGGTTACTTTCACTATTTGCCTATCTATCGCGATGAATTTATTATATAGATTCGAAATTTATTTATTTGACATTGCATTTTTCTTTTGTTTATTCATTACTTAATATTATAATTTTCTTTTGTTTATTCATTACTTAATATTATAATTTTCTTTTGTTTATTCCAGGGATTTGAACCGAACCTGAACCCGGAGGAGTAAACCCGGGTTTTTGATAAAAAATCTGAACCCGAACCGAACCTGAACCCCATTTATAAAATTTTTACAACCCCGAACGAACCCAGGAATTTTTATGAACCCGGGTTCAAGCGGGTTCAGTATATTGTTTAAAATCATATATTAAGATATTTGTATAATTGTAAATACAAATATTAATAATTTAATTGAGATTTTAAAAAATTATCATAATACCTTTTTAAGTGAAGTGATAATAAATTTTAAACAACTTAATTCTTTTACGCCATTTTTTAATTTTTTTTTAAAATTTATTTTCGAAGATTTCTATTGTAGTGTTAAATAAATTTAAAGCAATTAAATACATTCACGCCATTTATTTTTAATTTTTAACTTAGTCTCAAAGATTAATAATTAAAGGAATGAACAAGTCAAAGTAAAAATTATTATATTGATTTATTTTTTGTTCAGATTAATTTTTAATATATATTAATGAAGTGTATATTATAATTGAAATTAAATTTATACATCTGTTTTTTAATTCTATGAAATCATTGCTATTTAAAATTTATCCTCTTTAACTCTTTTATTTCAAGGTTTATGACTGTTTTGTATTTTTAAATGTATTTTGCCTATAAATAAAATAAAAAATTAATTTTTATACCAAATTTATGTCTAGTTTTTTAATATCAATTCGAAAATTCTTAAACCCGAGCTGAACCCGGAACCAAACCCGGGTTCAAAAATATTTCCATAAACCCAACCGGAACCGAACCCACCTTTTATTTTTTTACTTAAACCGAACCCGAAACTAACCCGGGGCTAAAATTTTGCCGGGTTCGCATCCCTGGTTTATTCATAACTTAATATTATAATTTTCTTTCTGATATAATATTATAGACAAAAGAATAATGACTTCTCGAATGAATAAATTCAAGTCATTTATTAAGTTTCAATGCACATTGTTGAATATATAAACCACAAATCTATATGAATCAAAGACTCCGGGCCAAATTTTTGCGCCCTACCAGATTTTAGGAAGTTTATTTTTCAAGCCAAGCCCTTTTTTTAAAAAAAAAAAAAATTTTTTTTTCACTCAACCTGATTGACTTGGGTTTTTTTTAATTTGGTGATTTTAAATAAGTTTATGCTGTACATATTTTATGTAGTTTGTTTCAATTGAAAATATGAGAAACAAATGAATTTTAAATAGTCCATTATATGATTTTTCAACTGGTTAATTAATTTAAATTAATTTAGGCCTGGGTTTATAATATTTTTATTTTCAGTCTCAACCCCTAAAATCATACGTCTCGTATAAATCATCTTAATTGATTGGCAAATGCAAATCATCAATATAAACTACCAAACAAAACAGTCAAAAGTGTAACTAGTCCTTAGTTCAGCTTGGTTAGCTCATATCTCTGCAGTACCGGTGCTAGACAATTTTTAATTGCAGGCACTACTATATGCGCTTCCTACTTAATTTTTTTAGCATTTAATTTTCTTCTAATAAATGACTAAACGAAACACATTTTAAGCTATTTTTATTTAAAAATGTATATAAATCAAAGCAATAAATCAATTGATTTTAATAAAAAAAATACAATATTCTTTTTACGCAATATCATTATTGCGAAATTATTTACTAATTTTTCAATATCTAATGATTTAAACAAATGGTTTTCAATATAAAATATTGCCAAACTATTTAATCATCTTGTGTCATTGTTGAATGAATAAAGGCTTTGATTCATTTAAACTGAATACAACTAAGTTCGGCACACTCTACGGTGCAGTATTGTTAATAATATTCTTAGTGTATATAAAGTAGGATAAATGGATACCAGTCTATCAGATGAATCAAATATGTCACAAAATAATTGCTTATCGTCTTTTACTGTAATTCTAATCTCTTCGTATAATGGTCTGGCCTTGATGTCCCTAGCAGATTCACAAATTATTTATGTTTTATTTATTTGTTATTTCTTTTTTAGAAGGGTTGTCACATGAAACTTTCTAGCTTAAAGAAAATATAAGTCCTAAACAATCAACATCTATCATCTGTTAACAAATTTTTTTACAAAGCAGAGGATTTTGTTACAAAAATGAAACAGGTTTTCTCAAGGCTGTTAATACTTCTAAAAAAGAATTCTGGTTTGGGTTCATTAAAAACCTGGGTTCCGGTGTCGGCATTGAGAAATTAATTTACACAAAATGGATACACTAATATAAAAAACGATTCCGCGATTAATGATTTTCACAAAAAATGTTATTAATACTGAAAATAAAAAAAACAATATTTTAAATATCTAGTATTTATTTTATAAATATTTTAGATGTAATTTTAATACTGTTCAAATTTTTTATAATTTGAAAAAATAAATGAAATAAAGAAAAAAAATGAAATGAAATTTTGAGTTTTGGTTCAATAAAATATCAGGGTTCGGGTTCACAGCCCTTGCTTTTCTAATAAAACAATGAATCTTTTATTTATATGAACCCTTGGCTAATAAGAATGGAATAGGTTCCCGCTATTTAGTCCTTCTGATTTAGATTCAAGCACCTCTATGAACAAGTATATCAGCATTTATTTTGATTAAAAATCATCCATAATAATTTTATCATGTATATATGAAATATGATATTTCTATTTGAAATAAAATTATAACTGCAGTCATAACTGAAAATAAAAACATGGTATTTTTTACCGTATGTGATTTAAACCCACTTTTTAGGGTTGGCCTGGGCCGGTCTATGAATATCTATCTAAGTAAAAATTGGACCGTGACGAACAAATTATGTTTTTTTAAAAATATTTAAACAATGGATTGATAACGAGAAAGGTTATAGAGACTAGATACTATTCAAAAATTAGAGCTTCTACCTCTTTTCTGCTATCTGCCTCATTATTCAAAATAAAACTAATTTAACGAACGAAACAAGGTTAGCCCCTAACCTATAGAGTTATGAATTGAAATGAATTTAACAAAATGTTTTTCAACCCCAACATCGCTATCCTCCCCTCGCCCACCTTTGTGAACCTAAGCTTTAACGTTAATTGTTTCGCATGGCTTATATCAGGAGTATAGTCAGAGTTGGACAGGTCCTCCAGAAAAAAAATCTAGATACAGATACAGATTCTTTATAAAAAAATGAATCTTAGATACAGATACTAGTATTTTTTCAATATCAAAAAAATACAAGATAAAAGATACTTGTATCTTTTCTAAATTAGAATATCTTAAATACAAGATACTTTTAAATTATCATTACCAATTAAATTAGAATTGCCACAATTGGGTGTTTTTGGATTGTGAACTTAAGAACCTAAATATAAAATAAAAATATAAACTAAATTTGATTCTTAATCTTTATTAAATAAATAAATAACTATAATCAATTACAAAGTGAAAAATATAATCAAAATAAAAGAAAAATAAAATAAATATATAAAAATAAAATTAAAAATTATATGTAAAAGTAAAAATTAAAAAAAAGTCTTTCAAGCGAAAAAAAAAGTTCTTCATCCCACTTGTTAAAACTCTTAAAGTATGAAAAAATCTACAATTATCACGCGTTTTTTTTCTCATATACATACTTAATAATTTTAATAAAACATTATTTTTATTTACAATTTGAATAAAGCATTTGTAACGCAAAAATACAACACCCTTCCACTTAAGTTAGACCCACCAATCAGCGAATGACCAACTTCTTTCGATTACTTTACAGATCTGGTATCTCCACCAAATCTATTCTTAATCTTTAATGTCTTCTAATTTCTAACGACGGTTGTCTATTGATTCTTCACTTCTAAGGACTGTTTGTATTCGATTACAATCTGAAATTCTTGAATCCTTTTGTTTCTTGTCAACCCCTTGTAAACGATTATCTCTTGATCTCTATAGGCAATTGACGAACTCGATTCACTTCGGTTTTCATGATTCCCTATAAATTTTTCTAGTCTCTTTTTAATTATATTTCGTTTTAACCTTGGTAAATTATCCTAGTCTTTGCTTTTTTCTAACGGTTTCTAGTAATTAATGATTAGCATATTATCTGGTAAACGATGACGACTTTTGTTAACGATTGTAGCTTGACAGCATTGACCACTTACTAGTCGCCTATTTCTAACGTTCTTTTATGTTAACCGATTGGCTCTTTAACTCTGTCACGCTTCACGATAATTTGTCTGCTATTAACGATTTTTTCCCAGAATTCTGGTCTCTATGATCATCAACTTTCGTATCTTAGACTAAAGTTTCCTTCAACAATTGGCGATATTAATAAGCTATTAACGATTGCAGCATGAACGTCTCGAAAATTTGTTCTATCTAGTTTCTTGTTTAAAATGTTCTCTAATTTTCTGCGATTACTATTGTTTCCACGAATTCTCGTCTTTAAGGTCGTCGATTTTCGTATCTTAGACTAGAGTTTCAGTCACCTTGCTATATTGGTCAGCGATTAACGATTGCATCTCGAACGTATTGACCCTTTGTTCTATCTAGTCGCTTGTC